CACTCCATATATAGACTAACATATTTAACTACATAAACACGGGATGCGGGTAATCGCGGCACGAATCGAGGAACTCACTTTAGACGGGTAATCCTCCGGTGGTCGTTGCGCTGGAACCCCCATTCCCTATATTACTCAATCGTGTAAAAAGTGCTCAGTACGTACACTGCAGGTCCAGTCTGTTTTTCTAGCTTTCAGGCAACAGGCTTATTTCTTTATGGGATTAGTAATTCCATACTAAGATATCATATAGCTTTTTTGATAATTCTGCTGGCCGTATCAAATTGAAGTGTTTTTTCGTAAGTCCTGTTTTCGAGAATACTTAGCCATTCCCGAAAATTTTATAGAAACGAAAACGAAAATGATTTAATGGACATATACATCAAGAGCTCAGGATTTGTTGACTGTTGAAAAACCATTTTCTCAAATCTACATTCTCTTTTTATTTCTTTTACGGGGTCAAAGAAACGCGATCATCACATAAAAAGGCTTTTGCAAAATATAAATATCAGCCAGAAGCAATATGTTTCGCTTTCGATTTCTGAGAATCATGACAGCGAGGAATGGCAAACAATGATATCATGATGGCAAAGCTATCCACTCCGGCTTGGAGSACAGGGGATTCAAGATTACTGTTATCGAGTTCCTTTTTAATATCAGAATTCCAAATGTTGTTTATTATCTGATTCCTTAATCCATTTTTACTACAAAATACGACCGCAAAATTTTATTTCAAGGAACAGTGTCCATTTTTTGGAGGAGATTTATTAAAAGTTGATTACGCAAGCAATTTATATTTAGAATTTCTTGGAAATCAAATGGACGTGACGCTCTGTTTTTCTTGGAACTATAAATTACGACTTGTTATTGAAGGATCGATCTGGAAGTAACCTTTGTAGTGTTCTTCTGATTTTTTAGCTTAAAAGTTTACGTTTTTGTTCATTTTTTAAACGATAATATTCGGACCTTATAATTACATTGAATACTACATTTGTTGCCTCAAAACACTACTACGGATTTCATTGAGGTGTGGCACGCATTAAAAAATTCGTCTGCGAATTTGCCTACGAGACGCTGTGACTCCTCCCACTTGGAGGTGTGATTTTGTCTGCATTCCTTTCTCGCGAAATGCACAATGAACATTAGCGAATTTGGTCGTGTTTACAGTAGGGGAAAGAGCATAAGTAGTGATTTGAGATCTCTCGTTATAGATGAGATTGCTGAAAGTGGTGGGGATATCATAACAGGATTTTTTCCTGGAAACTATTCGCAGAAATTGCTTGAAAACTTCCCACGCCTCCATACTCAACTTTGAACTCGTACCTTCTACTCGCCGCCATAATTTCGAATTGAACGTTGCACGGGAATAACCGAGAAAGGAATGCAGACAAAATCACACCTCCAAGTGGGAGGAGTCACAGCGTCTCGTAGGCAAATTAGCAGACGAATTTTTTAATGCGTGCCACACTTCGATGAAATCCGTAGTAATCACAAGGTTTCTTCGAGGAGTGTTTCAAACACGACCTGCTCTGCCTAAGTACACAAGCATCTGCGATGTTATAGTTATATTGACATTTTTGTCCGAACTTCTTGGTGACCGTAACACAATGCAACATCATTTATACCACGTGATCGCTAGCGCCGAAAGGCGAATCATATTTCAAGATTTCAAATTAACACGGGAGGATAACTTTGATCAACGTCAAAAGCTGAAAACATTTTATTCTCAAATCTACATTCTCTTTTGATTTCTTTTGCGGGGTCAAAACTCGATCGCAAAAAAGGCTTTTGCAAAATCATAAATATCAGCCAGAAGCAGTATGTTTCGCTTTCGATTTCTGAGAATCATGACAGCGAGGACGAGTACATATCATGATGGCAAAGTTAACTCCGGCTTGGAAGCACAGGGATTCAAGATTACTGGTATCGAGTTTTAAAATATAAACACTGTAAATACGAAAATTCTGTAAAATATTCTATTCTAATATCAGTCCGCCAGTTAAGCTACAAAGAGTACTTGGTTCTTGGAAGATTACGCAGCGAAACGAAGCTCTGCTTGGAATTATGCCTTATACATTTTCGCAATGGTAACAATTTTCTTACGTCGTTAGAATTCCAAATGTTGTTTATTATCTGATTCCTTAATCCATTTTTACTACAAAATTCAATCGCAAAATTTTATTTCAAAGACCAGTGCCATTTTGGAGGAGATTTATTAAGAGTTGATTACGCAAGCAATTTATATTTAGAATTTCTTGGAAATCAAGTGGACGTGACGCTCTATTTTTCTTCGAACTAATTACGACTTGTTATTGAAGAATCGATCTGGAAATGACCTTTTGTAGTGTTCTTCTCATTTTTTAGCTTAAAGGTTTACGTTTTTGTTCATTTTTTAAACGATATCTTTATCATTTCCGTTAGATATTGAGAAAAGAATAAAATTACAACATGAAGATGTCCAGGCTCCTTCGCGGAATTCTTTGCGTGTTGATGTTCCTTTCCATGCAGTCTCAAGATGCTGATGCTGGTCCGATTAGTTTTTGTGTCTGCATTTCTTTATGTACCACGAACTGGGTTGCCTGTTGCGCCGCTGTTGGAGGAACTGCTGGTGTGACCACTGGTGGAGTTGGTGTCCCGGCAGCCATCGTGGCCTGCAATGCGATACAAGCAGCTTGCACGGGGGCCTGCGGAGCAGCTGGATTGACTCCAATACCTTGAGACAGTACAAGGCATGAAAAACCATCCGTCCTCTTGGGAGGTCCTACCTTTTTTTAGTGTAGTCAATTTGACTTAATCGTTTTGACTAGTTACAACTTAATATTGCATTTAATGTATTGATAAAGCTGGATTGAGTACTTCACTCACCTTAGTTTGTTCTACTTTTGATCACCTTGGTTGCACTAAGCTTTTTAGTAGGAGAAACAACTTTGAAAAACTTCAACGATGTATGCAAAATAATGCTTATTTGTTAAAAGATTTTTGTGAACTTTGAATTTAAGCTAGCTTTTGTCGTCTTTATTGATCTTGTAAAGCAAAATATGGAAATTTAATAAATGTTTTAACAAACTAACAATTCTCTTCTAATATATTTCTCCTAGTATAAACAATTGCAAAACAATCTGGGAACGTCTTTTTTTGACGAGGATAGCACTTAATAGCCGGTGGCTAACAAACCTGTGGCCCTCATTCCGTGATCGAATTGGAATTTAGGAGTTGATTTTTGTGGAGGGAGGAAAACCCGGAGAAAAACCCTCGAAGCACAGGAGACAACCAAACCAACCGGTACATACCCCTGTTCAAAGACCTGTTCAAAAGCTCGATACGGGGATCTGTAGTGGTAATTTCTATACAAAAATATATTTTTTTAGCATACATGCAGAAATTAAATTTATTCTTGTCAATTCATCACCCCTTCACTAAACAACATGACTAAATAATTAATTTGTTTGAAAGTCAGTACCTTAAAACAAATGAAAAATAAGGCATTGTGCGATTTATTAATATAAAAGCTTAAAGTTAAGGGCTTTATATTAGTTTGCAAAGCTGAGTTGAGACGAGTAGTCTAGGGGATGTATGTTCTGGTTCACCCACCACCACCAAGAATACCCACACCGAGGAGTCCTAGAGAGGGAAACCCCGCATCAAGTAGCCTACATTAGTAATTGGTTTTGGAGGGCTTATGGGGGTTATCCGAGTAAGGTGTCCGAAAATATGAACGCAGTAATTACTAAATAGTAAAGTTGGATAGTAATCCCAAAATCGCCCCCGGGGATTATAGGAGGGTCCAAACGACGGGTATTACGCAGGCCAGAAATGACCTTACGGGTATTACCCGCAACGCCTTCCAAAAAATATTCCTTATATATAGACAATGGACTCGCAATATAATTTCACATCTCACACCATTCCCGGTAGTTCCGTAATAGATTTGCGGCGGTATTGGGATACGAACGCGAGACGCATACAGAGATTAGTAGAAAGAGGAAACTTAATGAAAGACGAAACGGAAACGACAGTTTGGTTGCGTACCAAGACGCTAGCAGTCTTAGAATCGACAGACCTAGAGCAAAAGATATCCTCGCAAATTGAACCACTGTCAGAATCACTAGCAAAGTACACCCGAGAAGGCTCTGGATGGACCGTAACAGCGATTAAAGGTGCCACCATCGGAATTGCTCGCTACGTGCCGATTCGCGGAGGATCCTACGTGCCGCTGCCAACTTTCATAGAGCGTAAGAAAGCAATAATCAGTGTGCGTAATAAGGATAACAGATGCTTTCAGTGGGCTTTGAGATCAGCGCTGTACCCATTCAAGGAAAATGCATTTAGGACATCGAAATACCCAAGCGACGACTTAGATTGGTCTAACGTGCAGTTTCCAATGGAATTACGGTGCATACCCGATTTTGAAGAAAGAAACAACCTTCCCATAAACGTTTACGGTGTTCGAGAAAAGACCATAGTTCCACTACATATTTCAGATATCGAGGGAGAGCACATACATCTTTTCTACCACGGCGAACATTATTCGTGGGTAAAGTCGTTAAGTCGACTATTTGCGTCGCACAGCAAGAATTGCCGAAAGAGATTTTATTGTGATGCCTGCCTACTACCATTTAAAGACTTAAATGCATTAAAGAAGCACGACCGTATTTGCCGAGGAGTCGAGGAGCCAGCCCAGCGAGTCCAATTACCAGAAGATAAGAACTTACAATACAACGACCACAAGCGAGAAAACAAGGTGTCTTACGTGATTTACGCGGACTTTGAGTCCTTGATTACTCCGGAGCACGAGGAAGCCGGTAACACCCAAAAAGAAGGGACTACACGAGATTTGCTCGTATGGTTACGTAGTTGTCCGCTGCGACGGCGAAGCGGATGAGCCAGTGCTTTACCGAGGTCCCAACGCAGCACGGAAGTTTCTCGAAGCCCTAGAAGAAGAGGAAGAATACATTCGCAGACGCCTACGACCCAAAAAGGCTAAGGTAACCAAAGACAACCTAAGGGATTACCACGCAGCACAGAATTGCCACGTTTGCGGATTGGGAGTGTTTAAGTTTGGGCGTAGAGTGAAGAAAGCATGGACGGCAAGCGGGGAGTACTTAGGAGAAGCACACCTTCCATACGGGCGATATGCAAAAGACGGGGATAAGCCAGGCAAGCCCTCCACACACTGCTTTCACTGCGGTGAGCCGTTAGAGAATGAATTTTACGTAGACAAAGTCATGGATTGCTGTGAGATTACCGGCGAGTACAAAGGCGCATCCCACTGGAAATGCAGGCACCGAATAGACCCAAACATGGAGATTCCCGTCTTCGTTCACAACCTTCGCGGGTACGACTCCCACCTATTACTGCAAGGCGTAGAGGGGCACGAAGTAAAGTGCATACCCAACAACAAAGAACGGTATATGTCCGTAACTATTGGCAAGCTGAAATTTCTGGACTCCCAGCAATTCATGGCAGATTCCTTAGCCAATCTAGCAAAATACAACGAAGATTCACCGATATCCGACGAATACGGCGCGGAAAGGAAAGGCGTGTATCCTTACGAATACATGAATTGCTGGGATCGCTTTGAAGAAACGCAGCTTCCACCCCAAGAGGCTTTCTACAGCACTCTAAATGAAGAGGGAATATCCGACGCCGAATACTCCTATGCGAAGGAGGTTTGGGAGAAACACGAATGTAAAAACTTGGGTGACTACCACGACATTTACCTCCTTTCAGATGTAGTACTCCTAGCAGACGTCTTTCAAAGCTTCCGAAAGATGGCCATGTCTTACTACGGGTTAGACCCAGCAAACTTTTGCACAGCCCCTGGGCTTTCCTGGAGCGCGCTCTTAAAGAAGACAGACGCACATCTGGACCTCTTAACCGACTACGAGATGTATCGATTTATGGAAGACGGTATTCGTGGTGGAGTTTGCGGGCCCAGCAGACGTTACGCGCGCGCCAACAATCCCCAAGTAGAGGGCTACGACGCCGAAAAGCCAAACACCTACATCTTTTACCTAGATGCGAACAACCTCTATGGGTGGGCAATGTCCCAACACCTCCCGGTTAGGGAGTTTGAATGGACGGAGCCACGCGAGCCGGAGTATTACATGCGAGTAAAACCCGACAGCCGAAAAGGTTTTATTCTGGAGGTGGATTTGGAGTACCCGCCAGAACTACACCACCTTCACAACGACTACCCGCTTGCCCCGGAAGCAATTGAAATACCTTTCGAACAGCTTTCCCCACTACAAAAGGAGCTGTGCCCCCACTATAAGCCGTATCGCAAGCTAACGATGAACCTGATGAACAAAAAGAATTACGTTGTTCACTATCGCAACCTGCAATTCTACGTGCGTCACGGAATGCGTGTGACAAAGGTGCACCGCGCCCTGAAGTTCCGCCAGGAGCCGTGGATGCAGCCGTACATAGACTTTAACACCCAAAAGCGCACAGCCGCCAAAAATGATTTCGAGAAAAACCTGTTTAAGTGGATGAACAATAGTGTTTTTGGTAAAACGATGGAGAACATTCGCAAGCGGGTTAGCATAAAGATTGCTAACACACGCGAGGAAGCGGAGAAGTACGTATCCCAACCCGGGTTTGTCCGCTACGTGGACATGTTGAACTTCTTCGTGATACACATGAAGAAGGCTAACCTATTTCTGAATAAGCCTGTATACACCGGATTTACCGTCCTGGAGCTATCGAAATTGCTGATGTATGAGCTCTACTATGACAAACTCAAACCCAAGTACGGCGACCGCTGTCACCTGCAATACACGGACACCGACTCCCTAATAATGGAGATAGAAACCCCCGACGTTTACGCAGACTGTCTCGAAGATATTGACGAATATGACACGTCCGGTTACCCGCGCGACCATCCATTATACTCAGCCAAAAATAAGAAAGTAATTGGAAAGATGAAGGACGAAATGTCAGGCAAGCCCATCGTGGAATACGTAGGCCTGAAGCCCAAAAAGGATAGTGTACTTAAGACGGACGGCGCAGACAAGAAAGCAAAAGGCGTAAAAAAATACGTAGTCAAGAAGGACATCACCCATCAGTCCTACATTGACGTCCTACGCACGCAGAAGTTGCAGAAGCATCAAATGAATTCCCTGCGGTCCTTTAAGCATCAAATACACAACATCACCCAAGAGAAGGTGTCGTTATCCGCATTTGACGGTAAGAGGTGGATGTGTGATGATGGCATCCATACGCACGCGTTCGGTAATCACACAATAAGCAGTTCTTCTTTGACGAACCCACGTGTGGGACCATCATAAAGATAATACAAGATGGGCTGACCCTTCTTAGCTATTGCACTTTGGATCTGGTAAGTTTCCAAAGACCAATTAGGATCCGTAGCTCTTTTGGATCCTCCTTCTAATTCACCCGGCTCATAGAGATATCGAACCGTGACATCGCCTAATCTCTTTTCCTGGAGGAAGACCGCTCTTGAACTTCTGACGTAGGACTTGTGTTCCACGTGTTTCTTTTTTATGGCATCCTTGGGGTTTATCCCCGTAGCCCTGGCCGCCTCGTTATTTAAAGCCGCGACGACCTGGGGGAGTCTCTGAGTCCATTCCCTGTTGCGTTTGGAGGGATCTTCCAGCTCTTTCCAATACTGGTATCCAAAGAGACGCTCGGCCAAGGTCTTATTGAATCTTTCGACGATGCTCTGGCCCCTGTGGTACTCAGCTTTGGCTCTCCTAATCTTGGTGTCGTGGTCTTTCAGGGTCTTAGTAACCACGCCCACGAACTCTGTCCCCGCATCCACTTGCAGCAGCTTAGGCCATTTCAAGACGCGCTTATAAATCCTACCTAGGGCTTCTGCGACTTCCCCAGAATCCTT